CAGTGGCCAAAACTGCATGATGAATTGACAACACTGAGAGGACAAGTCATCAGCACAAGTCAATCATCAATTTCCCAGTGTAAGTTTCCAGTCTAGACGGGCAGCCGTATGTCACTACCAAAAATGCTTTTTTTCTCTTGTTTTCCTTGTACAAAGAAATGGTATCTTGTAGCAAGATAATAATTCTTTAAACAAGAAATTAAAGAATCCCTGTAGCAAGAAAATTCAAGAAACACATGTGTTTGAGTTTTGTTGCTGTAGAAAGAAAACGATTCTGCCCACAAGAAAATATTTCTTGAACTAAGAGCTAACTGTTCTTGAAGCAAGAAAACCATTCTGTACACAATAAAAAATTTCTTGTAGCAGAAAAAATACTGCTAACTTTCTAAAAATTCTTAAGATTCTTGTTGGTGAGCATGATAGCAGAAATATTTTCTTTTCTTAAGACAAAAGAAGAATAAAATTCTTTTTGTAAGAATCAACATACAAAATCTTTGAAGAATGTTTTTTGAATTTTCATGAAAATCCCCTTGGCAAGAAAATATTTCTCAACATAAGAAAATAAGAAAAAACATTTTTGGTACCGTACCTCCGTCCTGGCGGCGGATCTGCAGCACTCTGAGCCGGGACAGGCCCCGGCCGCTCTCCGTGAACACGCGCACGCCGGTCCCACTGATCTCAGCTCCGGTTGGTCCGTACCATCTCAGATTCTGATTGGCCAGAGACGTGCTGTCGTCACTGCAGGTGAAGATGATGTCCTCCCCCTCTTTCCGCAAGACCGTCGGGCTGTCCGGTAGAACCCGAACCTGGCCGAACCCGCACCGAACACACGTCAGCAGCACGAGCAGCACACGCAAATCCGCTGGCATGGCGACGCTGAGGAGAAAAAAACCATTCACCTGCTCACATCACATTGAACGAGTAGTATTTCATTCAGACCATCGGTCACTCAATGCAGGATTTCGGTGGCACAAGATATTCTGGATAAGGAATTCTTAATGACTGACGTAATTTTGTCCATCATTCTCCATTATTATCAACATAAATATTGAAAGCCAACGACCCACAAGATTAAGAAAATTTTGTGGTACCGTAATGAAAAGTCTTGTTACAGATAAGACGTTTCAGTGTTACATGCATATAGTAGACATGTATATAGTTACTGTAGTAATGTTATGGTTGTACAAGTGCTGTATCACAAGCTACAGTGGTTGTGTCGTCTTGTGTAGTATGTATCTAATAGCCTTCGCCAGACCTTACTGGGGAGCTGTTGAGTGAATACTGTTATTGGCCTGAAGAGTACGTAGTAACATTTCCCGAAGCGTTACGCTATAAAGGCGAAAAACTGGAAAATTATTTCCCCAAGTTGACAGAATTTGACTAACAGTTCCGAGGGCAACCTTCGCTGCTAGAGCTTGATCTCCAAGCAGATCTTTGGTTGCTGCAAGCTAGAATCAAATGGTCGACATGACGTCACGACCATTGAGTGGTAGATTTGCTTACCAATAATTTGCCCATGTCTTCTAATAACTTGTATTGTATTGTAATGTGATGTAAATAAAAACAGTGCTCTTATTGACGAGACAGCATACATTTGCCACCCGAGCTGGCGAAGGAATACAAAAAAGAAAGCCAGATAAAATCGCCTTAGAACACAAGGGCCACACCAATTTAATTTTATGGGTGACATCCTCTGAAGACCCCCAAACTAGTGCGCGCGGGCGAATAAAAAAAAATTCAGGCCAAAAATAAAAATGCTACTAAACCACAGGAATACAAAGCTGGTAATGTGAATTCGCGGCAGTACTTAGCGACATATACGGCAAGCCGGCACATGCTGGCTTTTTGCGGAATTTATGAATCGGCAATGTACGTATGTACTGAGTTCTTGAGTCGTGGAGCTTCGAATTCGATAGCCTGGGTGTTCGGCTCCGTTTTGTCGCTAACTACCATGGACTACCTAGGCCTATATAGAGCCAGGACAGAGCCTCGGCGGACGTAATCTTTTTTTTTAGGCCGACAGGCGAAAATCAAAGCGCGCGCGGATGTCATCCATAAAATTAATTCGGTGTGGCCTTATTAGTTAAACTATTGACATCCAGCACCGGTCTATTTCTGCCGGTTGTCGCTGAGACCAGCAAGGGGAAATGGAACTACGTAGGTACATGCTGCCGTGCCAGTTCAGAAGCCCTGCGACAAAGACCAGCGTTTCTTCCCCTTGTGGTTGAAAGTACCATCCAGAATAGATTTGAAAGTCCTTCAACCACAAAGTGAAGTGTTGGAAACCAAAGTGAGCCGATGTTAGGAATAATCACAAAAACAAACATGACGGGGATGAACTGCACGGTTTAAACTCGGGATTTGCATATGGAAGTTCTCCATAGAGACCTCAGGTGAACCCGCGCGGCTGGTATGTAACTTGTAAGCAGCACGTGTACACTAACCTGCGGTAGTACAGACTTCCCGCCAGTTTCTTACAGCTGCTGTGTTCTAATTGCGTTTGCTTCAGAATCAGAAGGCGGTAGCTATCAGAAAACTGCGAAGTTTCAAACTGAAAAAGGTTGGTAGCTAGAAAGACTACACGTATACTAGGATAGCAAAAGCCGATGACGACAATACAAACCGTCTACAAAACGTCATGTATGGTACATAAAAGGCATGATTCCACCGGGAAAGCCTAGTGCTTCTTTCCGTTTTATTATAATTTATGTACAAAATTTGCAACAAATCGTTTTCATACAAGTCAAGTAACTCATTTGCGCTAAGAGGAGTAAGACTATGGCCTAGACCAACAAGAAATACTGTTACAGCAGAGTACTTTGCTAATAGTTCTCTAAAACACAAGCATACCCTGGAAGTAAAATTACCTGGTGTTGTAACTTGAGTGGTGAGAAGCAATGCTGCACGTAGAAGGGTCGACTGTCTCATTCGCCTGACGCTGGGAGTAAGACAAACTCAGCGTGGATTCCAGTTCTATTTATACTTTTTTTTCATCCGGGTCCTTTCAATTGTCTCCAGGTGCTAATTAATGCAAATCTCTACCCCAAGATCAAGCTGTGTATAAACGTATTTGCATACAAGCATTGTGTTGGTGTGGCGCACCCTGTAATTAGTTCAAATACTTGTACACTGTCCATGTAACGTTACGTGCTTTGAGTGACACACGAAGAGTTCGCACAAAATGCAAGGAACTTTAATTTAAGATCTATCACCCTGTGCCCCTTCGAGTCCCCATAGCTTGTATACTAGTAGTCCTACCTCCGTGGTCCATGGCACAATAGAACTGTTATAGATAGCCTCCTGTGCAGGCTCCGGGCGGCTGGGAGTTTTGATACTGCGTTTTGCCAAGGTGTCCTTGGAGTTTTTAACGCGTTCTTTTAATAGAAAGAAAGTTTATTGCAAATTCATGCCCGAGGGCTAATAGCAAGAACATGATTACAACAATAAACAGTAAAAATGATGATAAGTAATGCTAATGCTAGTTTAGATATACATTTGTAATTATTGTTGGGTTTGATTTCTTTTCCTTGTGCAATGGAGTATGAAATGGCCGACATTTTGCGAGATATATGAATTGGGAGGTGTTAATAGAAATGCAGTTTTTTGTAGGCTGGGAAGGTGAATAAAGCTAGGGGACATTTTGGTGACCATTTCAAATAACTATAATATCTCTTTCGGTGCTATAATGAGGGCAGTGACCAATAAAGTGCATTTCATCCTCCACTGCATTTCCTAATATTTACATATTTTGTCGTTAACAGACAATTGTTTGTATGTACTCTTTTCTATTTCTAATGTATGTGCGCTAACTCTAAGCTTACGTGTGTCTGATCTAACATCGAAGTCTTTGATGTGAAGATACCGTTCCATTGTGTATACAGGTTTCAGATGTCTATAAAATTTTAGCTTACCGACATCAAAAGAGAGATTGTAAAGAAAGGTTTAGATATACATGTCAGAGAGCCTACTTCTAAGTAATGTACTCGTACATATGTGTTGCTTATCGAGATCGACGTTGTCGTTATGCCAGATATATGAGAAACCACTGCGGTCAAGTATTTCTTTCACATGGTGTAGCAGATTGTTCTTGTGACCAAGCATTAACATATGTTTTTGAGATAGTAGAGCGTCAACTTGTAGGGGATGTGTATCAGCGTCTAGTTGCCTCAGTCTTAACCAATACTTGACTAGGCGTACCGATACGTCTGTGTCTAGTGACAATCTACCGAGCTCTGCTTTGCATGCTCCGTTGCTAGCGTTTCTGTGTACCCCAAGAATGTTTTAAAGAAGCGACTATGGACAGTTTCAATAGGACAGTCGTCATTTGACCATATAACATTATTGATTTGAAGCACACGTTCAAAATCCTTAATAAAGATCTCAATGAGATTTGTGAGCGGATAAGAGATTTGATGCTAAAAACAGCTTTGCGAGCTTTTAAAGAAAGTCGTTTCTTAGCTAGTGAGAAACTGCCAGATGAGGACAACAACAGACCTAGATAACAGTACGACGTAGTAATTTCTATATTTTCAGAGCCGAGCAGGAGTTTTGTATTTCTGTATATGCGCCCTGTTTAGTTAAAGATTACAACTTTGGTCTTTTTCAGGTTAACTTGGAGTTTCCATTTTGAACAGAAAGTGTTTAGTTTGTCAAGGGCACATTGAGGTCCTTTCTCGGTTTCCGCGAAAATTACGACATCATCTGCATAGAGTAAGCAGAATAGCCGACCATCCTACAACCAGCCTCGACATCCTACAACCAGCCTCGACATCCTACAACCAGCCTCGACAGAAGGTATCCATCTGTAACAGTGTGTGTGTGTGTGTGTGTGTGTGGGGGGGGTTATAGTCGCTACCAACTGACCCGGCCAACGGGTCTAGACCTTTTAGTGGAGAGGTTAGAGCGTCTGACTGGGGCCCGGGAGGTCGTGGGTTCGAACCCTGGCCCGGGTGGTTGTAGGATGTCCAGAGGGTTTTTTACTGGCGCCTCCTGTTTCTTACAGTTCTTTCCTACAGTTCTGGCAAAGAACGCCGCTCCAGGGAAGACTCGAGGACGAATCTTGAAAAGAAAAGGGGGAGTAGTGTAACAGGGGGGGGGGGTTATAGGCGCTACCAACGTTGTTCAACTCAAGGAGGTATTTTAAACCTCCTTGTGCAACTTTCCATGCTTTTCACCAGCTCTGGAAAAAGTGAACTATTACTCCAAATAGTTCCTAGCAACGAGGTTCTCTCTTTTTTATGAATGCTGTAATAGCTAACTTACACACCTACATGTATGTTCCAACAACACTGGCTCACTTTCACATATGCTTTGATAGGATGATCTGTTTATTTCCACATAAAAAATTATTTTTATAATGTTCAGAACCGCACTCAGAGACCGATGGCACATATATTGTAAACAATACTGTTTATTTGGTGTCATTGATTATGGAGACGATATAATTAGCATCATCTTCGAAAGAAAGACATATGAAGGCACATGTAGATGACATTATGAAGACTGACAACGTTATAACCGCACACGTTAGTAAAGAGATTACCAACAAACTTTTCAGTCCCCTGACCTGATCCTGAAATATGCTGTATTTGGTTTCGATCAATTTAACTACATGATTGCGTGACGTGAGAGTCATATCCTTCTGCATTATTTGCCGCTCACAATAATTCATCCATTGTGCAAATATCAGTTATGAAGTAGGCATAATTTGTGTCTATTAATATTTCACCTTGTTATGTATGTTACGCATATTGTAGACACATAAAACATATGTAGTCATTAAAAACACTGGAAAGTACAGTAAATTACAGGAATGTACAATAAAATACATTTTAATAATTGATAAAACAATCCAATAATCTTGTGCACATCTCTATGGGTGACCTGCAGGCCCCAAATCATTAAAATCCGCTCTTCATTTCTTCAGTAATCCTCCCTGAAAGACTCAATCAAAAACCCAAATGCAGTTCCAAGATTGACTGCCAGGAGGCCAAAACTGATACCACTTCTTCTGTACATGTACATCAAAAGGTATCTGCCACCCAAAAATCAAGACATGTTCAGGGCGAAAGATACATCAATAGCACAGAATGTTAGAGTTTCCTCATTGATTAATGTGCAAAATAAGTCCTATTTTGCATTATTTGCATTTAATTGTGTACATGTACACCTCGGTCTAAGGTACCTACTTGCCCCAAATCATGAAAATCTGTTGTTCCTTTTCTGATTTATCCAAGGAGGTTTGAAAGAGATCAAAGGAAGAGCATTTTCTGAAGCGATTGTAGTCAGACTGGTTCTGTACATACTATTTTTCTGATGACTCCCAAAAAGTATTGGCTACGTGACATTGAGTTTGGACTAGGCAGCTATATTATTATATACAGCATCAATATTCCCCCCCCCCAAGTAACCTCCAGATCCATTACAGCCAGGTGAAACATATCATTTCACAAACAGCTATCTTTGAAGCGGACAAATTTTTAAGCGGTGTCTCTTAAAGATCTAGAAGTCTTGGGTTGATCTTGAAAACTACATGTATCTGTTGTTTCCATGTGTTTTGGGATACTAAGTACTCGTCTGTGAAGTCATAACCTTAGCAACTTTGGCCGTGTTTATGTGAAGTCACCCAAACCGCAATTCGAGTAACTCACATTCCTCACATCTGGTGTCTGATCACAATTCGCTTGAGCTACATTTATTGTTGATTGATGAAAACACGCAAGGTAGTGTGTTATTAATGTCAGAGGTCAACGACCTGCTTGCTGATTCCCCCCTCCCAGCGTATCTCGGCCGAATGCCGACGTGGTCCCTCCAGAGGCGGTGAAGCTCGTCCTAGAATGGACACATTATTTGACCATCACTGCTCTTTAAGTTGCTGCCACGTAAAAGTTGGTATTGCATATAAATAAAGAAATATCACCCCGTAAATCCATGACCAGGCGAAGTCACATTGAAATCACATTGCGTTCAGACGCAAATCGCGATGCGGGAAAACCGATTCGATACCACCTTTAGAAGTGGTTTGGGATCGAGGCGCTTTCAATGTGATTTGGAGCGTTCAGATGGAGCCATTGAAACCGGCTTCGGGGTAAACCACATGTAAAGCGCCTTCACTGACTTCACATGAACACGGCCTTTGTCTTCTATTCAGTTTGCCCCAAAAGTGACTTTGCTCTGTGCCAGTCATCCCATTGAAACTGACAAGATTAACAAATGTGACAGCTGTTACAAAATCCCAGGGTGATCTTGAAAATATGGTTTGCAGTGTGTGATTGGAAAGTTGTTCCTCAATTTTCTGTCTGAACATGTGGTATGTTTAGAAATTAATACTGGATTTTGCTTTGAGTCTGCCATTAACCATTATACATGTATTTGAAGTTCAAGAATAAGCTGCTAGAGGGGGTCATACAACAACAGCTAGACAATACCTAGACAATACTGTTGATACCCAGCCTCAATACTTCACAGGAGGGTTTCTGGGAATCTGTAAACTGTATTTAGACTGCAATGCTCTGTCATCTCACTTGATCTGCCTCAATCCTATCTGAAATACAAAATAACAGATGATACATGTATGTGTAGGACACTAGTGCCCCTTTTGCCTAATGACTACCCTGTTTTCATTGCCTCCTGGTACAAAACAACATCCATGCCAAACTTGTCAATGCAGGTGTCCATCAGGTCTAAGAGTCTGTTCATGTCTCTGTCCATGGCAGACATCAGGCTCTCCATGGACGCCTGGCCGATGTGCAGGTCCTGTCTGTGGGAGGGGGGCAGGGCATTCTTCACTTGCTGAAAACCTGTGGAGAAAAGGATGGAACATACAGCTTCAAAGTTCAATCAGAAAGACCATTCTATTAGTACCTTATAATTTTACAGTGTTGAATGTATTGTTTATCAGGTTACAGCATTTCCACCTATTAAAGGCCACACTAATTTGATTTGTTGGTCCTTTTTTTCCAGAAAAAAAGGGACGGTGAAAACAAAAAAACAGACCTCATGAAAATATTTAGAGCTTTTGTAATTTCATTTGGTTTTGGGATTTTTCTCAACGATCATGTAGATGTGATGATTACACATTGCATAATCTATTCTATATATGGTTTTCTCAACTCAAATTACATATATTTCCTATCCAATGGCAATGTTTTGTTCCAACATTTCAATATCAATTATGCAAATGGCCTTCACATTTACATAATATATGCATAGTGATGTTACTTTTAACTAACATACAAATGTCACAAGCATGAAATATCCATCATTTAACTTTAAGAAACCATAGTATTTCTTTATTTATTATGCAAATTAGGTGTTCATTTGCATAATTTGTCTCTGTTAATGTTCCACGTGCCATAGATTACATGCAAATTACTTGTAAAAGCCTATACTGTACAATGTTGTTTTTTTCATTTCCTCATTACTTATACACATTGTGTCCTCATTTACATAATTTATATTCAATTGTGTACATCTTTGTCTAAGCTATCTACATGCCAAAAAACATGAATTACAATTTAAACTTGTTGTTTGTCTCTTGATTTATCTGCTTTTAAAGATTTCGCTGGAAACTCCCCTACAGTTCCAGAACAAGCTGCTAGGGGAACCAAACCCACACCACTTATTCCTGACAGGAAAATCTATCTGTCACCAAAAAGTCATGACCGTAGCATGTTCAGGACAAAAGATTCAAAAACTGGAAGTTCTGCTGCAGTACCAAGGTCGGCCACCAGGAGGCCCAGACTTGACCTTGATCTTCCTATCTTCCTTGATACTTGGCCTTCCTAAGAACTACCAACATATCAAATATCATCACAATCCATAAAAGCGTTGTGAAGTTATGCTGACCACAAGTATGCAGAAACACAGACACACACACAGAAAACAATATTACCTAGTACATATTTTCATGTACTAGGTACTAACAAATCAAATTGGTATGGCCTAACAGTACATTTTGTACAGTAGCAGTAGGCTGTAGAAATGTACAGTTATGTATATACCTCAATGATATACAAGCTGGATGTAAGTTTCTGCATGATGTAAGTTTGTGCATGCTTCTGACCTGCTGTGCCAGTGAGCATGTCCTGTGTCTGGCTGTGTGCAGCAGCTGGTACAGGTGGCGAGGGAAGTGGCAGTTATGCAGGTAACGCAGCACGGTCTGCTGCTGGTCAGGACTGCCCAGGAACGCAGCATCAGCTTTGGTCAGGAGCAGCCGCCGGCCTGGACACAGATAATTTTTTTTATATAAATAAATGAAAGACCTTTATTGTACATTTGTGCTCTAACAAGCTAAGTACAGGTCATGGATGGACAAGGAAAATGATACAGTAATTGCACTTAAACTATTTACATGTTCAACTTCTTCTCGCTTCTTGACGCAGTTATAGATGTACGAGCACATGGAACCAATAATACATGATTTGTCAAGTTTCATAAGAAATCTGAATTTTTCTACTTCATTTAAATGTCCAAAGCTGGGGAACTTATCTAGTATATAAGAATATAGGGAATCTCTCTCATTACTATATAACGTACAATCGACTACAAAATGATACTCATCCTCAATCTTATCTAAATCGCAAAATTGGCAAATCCTTTGCTCTAGAGGAATGCGGTTGTGTCCACCTTTTCCTATGTGGAGTTTGTGTGAACTTATCCGGAGTTTTGTGATGACCATTGTTGCAGTCTTATCTACACCAGGGGTTTTTCTAGAAAAATCAAGCATAGCGAGGGAGTGAAGTGACCGAGGGGGGATGTTTTTATGACTCTATGAGAATAGCACAGTTTGCAATGCTAGAATGCATTGTTGTGTTGTTTTTACATCTTTACTGGAAAAAAAAATCATTTTGAGAAAGACGAAGTGGTGTGTAATCACTCAGGTGAAAATGAGTACCTAGCTTCGGTTAGGGGCGTCTTATTGGATGAGACGTTAAAATGGAGGTCTCGTGTTTGAGGAGAGACACACCTCAAGCACGTTAAGGAACCCACGTGAGCGGAAGTGGAACAAACCATTATGGTCTAAAAAGGGGTAGGGAATTTTCCTGACCAGCCTCATAACCCCTGCTTCTCCTATTGGGTCAGTTAGTCCTCACTAATTGTGAGGATGTTTTTCTGACTCAGGGAGAAGAGTTGCTGTTACAGTTCTATACCTCTAGCTCTATGTCTAGAAGTGGCCTTGCATTGAGCGACACCGTTAAAAAAAAAAAGTAGCCACTTAGGGGTCAGTCTGAGAATTGATATGAGGGAGCTGGCTGGTTACATGAGAGAGCAGCGCCCTTATTCCCCTATTTAGAAAAAACCCTGTACACCGTTTAACCACACAAGCACACACGGTAATCTGAACTGTGCTAACATTCAAAATGTTTTATTTCTTTATTAAACTTCTCTATTAATTTCTTGCTGAGTTTACTATTGTTTTCAATCCCATGCTCAGTATGAATCTAATATGCTGTCTTTCAAATCTGTCCATTTTCAAATTCTTTATGTAACCTTGGGATATCAGAGAATGATGAAATCTATGTTTTCTATGATAAATCATTATCGGAAATCTGTATCCCATAAGACCTGGAGGTGTAACTAATCTGAAAAGTCAGTCAGTACATTTTTGTTGGACTAGTGTGTTCATGCCCGTAGCCAGGATTTTGAATGGGAGGGGGGGGTTCTTCCCACTGCTTGAGGGGACCTCGAGCGCCGAAGGCGCAAGGTTCCTAGGGGGGTCCGGGGCATGCTCTCCCGGAAAATTTTGAAAAATGAACCTCCTAAAATGGCATTTCGTGCATTTTTGAGAGGATTTCCAAGAAAAAAATCAGAGTTAAATTTTTTTTTCAATGACAAAGGGAGCAGTTTTTCTACGATTCCAGTCCGTCTTTTCAAGAAAAATCTTGGACCTTTACATAAAAAGTGGACCAAAAAGTGGACCTTTGAGCCTTCCGAACCCCCGGGCCCCCTGGCTACGGGCATGGTTTTTGTACAACACATGAACATGACAGGAACCTTTGATCCCATGTAGAGGAGTTGGTGGCAGCCTGGTCAGCCAGGTCAGCAGGAGGAACTCCAGGTCATCCTGCTGCTCCAGGCCCAGAGGAGTGACCGCAGGGGTCAGCTGCCTCAGGCCAGGGACGGTCAGGTGGGTCTTTATGGACACTGGAGCTGAGACCTGGGCAGACATGGTGCCTGGTGGGAGAGATACCACAAGTCCTATCAGAATTAATAAAATGTCAATACAATTAAGCATGAAAGTTCATCTGAGTTTTGTATAGGACATTATGAAAGAGTTCAACTCATAGCCAACAATCTGCCAACCTTTTAATGCATAAACTTTGAGTACATAAAGTAAGTTCTTGACAAATCTGTTGTCCATTGGTAGTATAAACTTAAAGACCAATGCCACTGGAACACAACCGTCCCGCAAACATTAGCATAGTCGCATATAGCGGCGCCCATCTCTGTTTCGTGGCACTTAGGCCACACAATATTAATTGTGCAATCACTACAGCAGAGGGCTAGTCCGCTAGTAGTGGTGTGTGTTCTTTCCATACTCTATGCTTCTTAACCTATCGTAGAGTGTAACTCACTGTCACCAAGAACAGTGAATGCTATTGGGGGCATACTAACAACAGAAAACTAGTCTTGCATATAGATGTTCAAAGATCAGGTGTAATGGGTTGTTCAGGGTAATGTAATCATCTGCTGCCAGCTGGTGTGTAATGTGGAAGGGAGATACAGGCCTTGTTTATGTGAAGTCACCCAAGGCGCTTTACATGTGGTTTACCCCGAAGCCGGTTTCAAGTGACTCCATCTGAACGCTCCAAATCACATCAAAAGTGCCTCGATCCCAAGCCACTTCTAGAGGTGGTTTCGAATCAGTTTTCCCGCGATTTGCGTCTGAACGCAATGTGATTTCAATGTGACTTCGCCTGGTCATGGATTACGGGGTGATATTTCTTTATTTATATCCAATAACAACTTTTACGTGGCAGCAACTTAATGAACAGTGATGGTCAAATAATGTGTCCCTTCTAGGGCGAGCTTCAACGCCTCTGGCGGGACCACGTCGGCATTCGGCCGAGATACGCTGGGAGGGGGGCACCAGCAAGCAGGTCGTTGATCTCTGACATTAATAACACGCTACCTGCATGTTTTCATCAAACAACAATAAATGTAGCTCAGGCGAATTGCGATTGGACACGGTTTCAAAGGAATGTGTGGCACGTGGACCAGATGTGAGGAATGTGAGTTACCCGAATCGCGGTTTGGGTGACTTCACATAAACACGGCCACAGATACATACAGACTTCAACATGCCCCACTGTGGCCTCACCTGTTACTCCTCCACTGTTGTCCTTCAGCTGAAGGAAGTTGTCGCGCAGTGTCCCCACCGTCTGCACCTGGCCCACTGCCTGCAGCTCCACATGTGTCAGGCGGCGGCTACAGGTGGGAACCATGTGGTACAGCTGCGGGAAGGAGTTACAGCATTAGAATCAATGAAGACTTATAGTTATAATAATATCCTCTTCATCCTTTGTAAGACATACATTGTAAGGCCATGAATTAAGGAAGAGCTAGTCTTTTAACACAAAATTTTAATATCATCAGAAATGAAACTAACATTTTTGTGATTTGCTTTTGAGTTCAGTTGTAGAATTTCAGGGGTTGGTGTCTAACGTTAGCGTTATGTAACACAAAACCAAGTCAGTTCAATTGCTGCCACATGAGTATTGTCAATAGATGTTGTATGTACTTATATATTGATTTGTAACAGACAATAATTATAATCTGAAGTGAACCAATCAGAGCTAAAAACCAACAGCCCAGTAAAAATCAAATTGTCAGATAGGTCGTCCTTCCATTCAAATATTCATGTCATTTTCTGTCGTGCTCTACCATTTATCTTGAATTGATGCTGGCCAATGAATTTGCATCAGCAGGGCAAGTAACTAGCCTTATATTCTAAAAACAAACGTTTTTCTGCATTGACAAGACATAAGGAAATTCAACAGTTAATACTCAGAATCTGCAGCAGTAGATTCAAATTGCCAGCCAAGTTGATATGTTATTTCATATCCACTGCTGACACATTAGACAGATACTGGCTAAGGCCGTGTTTATGTGAAGTCACCCAAGAGGCTTTACATGTGGTTTACCCCGAAGCCGGTTTCAAGTGGCTCCATCTGAACGCTCCAAATCACATTGAAAGCACCTCGATTCCAAACCACTTCTAGAGTAGAGGTGGTTTCGAATCGGTTTTCCCGCATCGCAATTTGCGTCTGAACGCAATGTGATTTCAATGTAACTTCGTCTGGTCATGGCTTACAGGTGATATTTCTTTATTTATATGCAATACCAACTTTTACGTGGCAGCAACTTAAAGAGCCGTAATGGTCAAATCATGTATCCGTTCTAGGACGAGCTTCACCGCCTCTGGCAGGACTAAGTCGGCATTCGGCCGAGATACGCTGGGAGGGGGGCACCAGCAAGCAGGTCATTGACCTCTGACAATAATGACACGCTACCTAGCGTGTTTTCAGCAAACAACAATGAATGTAGTTTCGGAGAATCGTGATCGGGCACGTTTTAAAAGGAATGTATGGCACGTGGACCAGATGTGAGGAATGTGAGTTACCCGAATTGCGGTTTGGGTGACTGCACATAAACATGGCCTAAGACTTACCCCCAGGAGTCTGTCCAGGTGATACACCAGCAGCTGTGCCAGGTGGAACTCCTCTGGGCCTGTCTTGGACATGAACATGGCTTTTATCGTTTGACCTTGTTTGTCCTTCAATGTGAGGGTGAGCTGCCCCCCCGGGATGACCTTCCCCCCAGCTGGATGCTGGAAGTTTTCTGCCCTGCTGATATTGCTGTTAGCTAGGATTGATGCCCATCTCTCATCTGTCATACCTGTTAACATGTTCAACAGTCTTCACTTCATTATTCGCAAACAATTCACAAGTTTTTACATGATTCATTTCTTTTGGCCTTCCAGTCTGTCCAAAACGAAATGAATTAACATTGGATTAATAGTAGGTTTGTTCATGTTGTTTTCTACTAAGAAGTTCAACGTACATGAATTTTCATACTAAGCACAATGGTTCCTAAACTTGTGCTTTATTTTTCACCATGTAGGTAAGTACATGTAAGTACATGTAATAATTTCTTAGCAGATGTTGTGGTGGAAGATTGTCATGTTTTCTCACTGCCCTACTCTGATAGCCGATGTTGGGGTGGGGACATGTATATGTTAGCTATCCCAGAAGCCTGGCAAGTAGTGCTGCATACCTAAACCCACATTTAGGTTCAGGTCCGGATTCAAGTCCAGAGGTTTAGGTTCAGTTCTGGACTTGTAAGTCCGGAGCTAAACCCATGGCATATACAAAATTGCATGTTGGCAACCTTGCGATGTTGTCTGGGTGAAACTTTGGCCACATAACATGGAGACCAACACTTGACGATGCCCGATGGCAATGTTTTCTTCATTTTGCAGCAAAGATTTTGCAATCTACGGAAGGTATTAGGTAGTTTGGAAAGAAAAGGGGTATGTGAAATGGTCATTTATGGTAATAAGTCCGGACTTGGTTCTTGACTTTTAGGTTTTTTTGGACTTGAACCTAAACATTCTTACAAGTCCGGATCCAAGTCCAGTGAACCGGTATGCAGCACTACTGGCAAGTCAGAAAACACCACGATCTTCCACCCCAACATCTGCTTGGAAATTCCACTGTTACACTGTAGTAATAGGCACACACCTGTCCACCCACAGTCCCTCATCAGCCTCTCCTCTCTCCTCCCCCTCAGGTCTCTCTGGGCCTGGAGCTCCTCCTCCAAACAGGGCTGCTGCTGAAATCCAACGTTCTGATTGGCTGAGTGCTTTTGTCCAGCAGTTTGATTGATGGCTGGCTGGACCCTACTCCCACCCCCACTCTGTGGCTTTATGTAGATTGTTGTTCCCTGATTGGCTGCTGGATCAGATGCACCATTTTTTAAAAAGATGGTCAACCATCCTGTAGTGTCAGAGGAAAACAAATTATGAACATTTATAATTTAACGCTTAGTGAATATCGAGCATGGAGACATTATCATTACATTGTCATTACTATGTTCCTTTACAGACTCTAGTAGTACCTTATGATAGAACCTTTCAAGCTTTGAGGAACATCAAAAGCGACATTCTTTGCCTGTTCTTACATTACAACCTTGAACAACCTTACCTGTAACTGCTCAGCTGCCTTCCTCAAGGCCTGAATGGAGAGAACTGCTCCTACACATGTTGTAAAAACCCTTTCCTTTCTATCAACCAACCTGACAATTCACAGGATATTGGAATTTTTATATTTACACAACCAGAACTTCTCAATCAGACACCTTCCTCAGGACTTCTGACAAACAAACATGGCTAAGCTTGTCCCTGTTCATCACTGGGGTTGACTTTCTGTCTTAAAGTTTGTGTTCTTGCAGCAAAAAGCAGCAAAAGTGCCACCTACGGCTACATCAGGGATATATATTATACACTTTATCAAAGACTTCTGCTATCCCTTATTATTTGAATAATTATGATGTAGATTTGTTAGGTTTATTCGACATTAGGTCTTGCTCAACACATTTTATTGTTTGCTACTCTCTTTATGTAGTTTGCCATACATTGTACCATGTGCAATTGTCGTGCAATAAAGTTCTTTATATACATTGTAGCGGTGAGAAGCAGAACTCCAGTCAGAAGCTCTGAGGAAGGTGTCTGATAGACATCAAAATGTAAGCAAGGTGAGAGAAGTTCTGGTTGCGTATAACTTACTAGTTACTCTGCTTTACTTTGGTTGAGCTCCTACTTAAAAACAAGAAAATCCTAAATAAATATCCTATGTTCTACCATTGCCCGGTGACAGTATTTTTGGAGGCTGCATCATATTTACATGTACGTGTAAAGTGCAGGTCCAGTACACTGTACCCCTAGTTCTGCTGACATGTGGACTGTCAGTATGTCATCATGATGAACATCTCAGTCACCTTCTACACTGTGGTGAGGTATGGAGACAAAGGCCAGGCATCTTGGATCCTTCTCACACTTAGAGATGGCGTCTTCCAGACCCTGTGCCGTCAGCACACAGCCCCAGTCAGCACGGGAATGGGGACAAGGGTAGTCAAACTTTGCCTGATAGTCTGAATTCTCCAGCTTGATGTAACCATGGACGTTTGGTGCCTACATAGGAAAGACAAAGTTTAGTGGAGAGTACATAAATGTACTATGCAACAATTCTTCTCCTCTCCTAAGGACCTGATGTAAAAGCTTGTCATGTTGAAATGATGCTCACCATTCTCCCAGACCTGCAGATTTGGCTTGTATTAAATTTTACATTTACATGAGAGCTGAATGTGAATTTGCTGTAACTACAAAACAAAAGTCTGCACATTAGAATATACTAGGGATTTATACTAAACGGAAACCTGAAGTACAGAAATTGTGTATGCACATAAGTGTCTGTTTCATGTTTTCCCAAGGTACAATCCTGTTAAACTATGAGTAACATTTTGGCTGTGGGGTAGTTACTAGAACATTTCAGAATATGTGGTCCATATTCAGAATAAGTTGGCTTACAGTATTACATGTACCTTTTTCTGCACATGTACCCTGGTGTCATGTTGCCTGGATGCTGCAGTAATGATGGGGTGTGGGGAATCAGTGGTCTTCTCCTCATCTGCAGCAAAATCACCATTTACATACAATTATGGATATATAATTATGAAGGAAGCGTAAAGATATGAAAAATGTTTACATCGATTTAAGCGCACTGAAAGGTGACGGAAAGGCTTAATTTGCCTTTCAGCAGCCTTTACGAAGTCGTAAAGTCTACTGAAATATTTTCTCACCTTCAATACTTCTTTACATATTGCAGAAAGTTTGCTTAAATATCTGTTTTCGTGCTGTGAGTCACAGATTGTGAGAGAGGCCACCACAAAACTGCTTTAATCTTTCCAGAACACAGCTTACTGTAGCAAGAGAACTCTCACAATATTGATCATGTGATGCATACCAATGAGAGCGCAGGTTACCTGAGGTTAACCAATCAGAGCTTAAACGTTGACATTACGTTGTTATACTAATGAGCAGAATGCTGATGACATCCTGCTTACATACTGTTAAATGTTAGCAGGAAAAATTATTGTACAGTGTATCTTTGCCACGCAAACAGATCTTTATTGAAAAAAAAATAAAGGAAAGGATTTTGCCAAGTGTTGCATAGCTGTCTGCATTTTTAGTTTTTTTTTTATTTCCTTGAAAGTGAAGTCAACATAGCTCAATTAACATGGCCAAAATTTGCAGTCAAAGTTGGTATAATGTGTGATTCTGCCAACTCTGATTTCTCTTTTCTGTCCTTCCCATCTGTGGTTACAGCATTCCCCCACATGTACACTAGCTGTAAGAAAGTCGCTCATGCCTGAGCATAATTACATTATCAACTTCTCTTAAGGACATTCAAAATAGAGGCATTGAATTTCTGTACAGTTCAGTAACACATTTACCATTGTAAAGCAGGAGGAGCTTTTCCAGTAGCTTGTGTGCATCCAATGACAGACTGTCCAGCTCCCAAACGAGGTCCTGCACTTTGTGAGCAACCCGCTTGGGGGTGCTGCTTGTCAACAGAGGTCGCAGGAAGTAGTGATGTACATTGTGCAGATTAGTTTTGGAGTTGTAATCCTTGCAGTGAAAGTTGGAACATGGAGACCCTGTTTGTTGGAAATGGATGGGAAATGTTTTGAGTAAATGAATAATAATCACTAGTTAAAGAGTTTGACTTGTTCCAACACAAAAAGGGAACTTATAAATTTTCGGCTGATCCCGTCAACCTTTGTCAGATTTGTGATGCAGTCGCTGACTTTCCGGAAGTCGGAAACGTGATGACGTCAGGAGTGCATCAAAAGTGGTGGGAAGACACTCCTGACAAAAATCAGTATGTCAAAAGAGCGCCTTCCACTTCATATGCAAAAAGATTCTGCGCTGAGAAGAAGCAGTTCAAAGAATGAATTGTGTTGGACGAAATTTTACAACAAAGAGAAAAATCTTCACTTCCTACTTTCCCAAACTTCCTGTGCAATTATAAATATAATGAAGCCACTCTTACTACTGATTGTATATCGTGCCATTCACTGGATCATAATTGAGGTAAACCTTTGCTAACAATCGGTATTAAACAAGCCGTAGGCTAACAAGCAGTGGGAAGTGCAAATGAGCGGAAAATCCTTGTTTCAAGATTTGAATCAGAACTATTCAAAACTCAGCAATGAAATAAAAACGTTTTGTGAATTCCGGATCTGAAAACAAT